CGTGAAAGCAAGGTTTGCGCTTAGTTAGTTTAACTGAATTAAGGCTAAATTAAATATTAGGAATTTACGCTTTTATTAGGAGATGTCATGACGTTTCTTTAAGAAAGTTAAGTAGTAATCCGATGTGACAGTGAAGTCTCCCTAGATAGAGGCAGCATCATTTATGTATCCATTCTTATAGATATAGAAGAAAATGACTAAGCGGACGAACTGGCCATCTTGAGCGGGGCCAAGAAAGCCATGGTAAAGAGCAAAACAGTCGTGGATTTTTGGAATATCGCTAATACAGGGAGTTAGTGTAGACGTTCCCTTTACAACAAGCACCCCATAGTTTCACCATCAGAAAAAATATTACGCAGAATTAGCAAATTATTGAACATAAGTTTTATGAATGACTAGCCTTTCGAACATTAAGACGAATTATTTTCCCTGTTTCACCATGGTTCGACCTACAAATAAATGAACACCTTAGAACTCTATCAAATTTAGTAAGTAATTGAATGATGCTTAGCAAAATGCATTTAAAAGCGTAATGGGCCTAATAATACCTTAAGTGTGGCCGTTAGCGTGTGTGGCATTGAGTTGCAAGTATTTTTATACATCAACGTTTTCAAACCCGTTTCCCATCATAACTACAAAACAACTGCACCGATCCTCTTGAGATTAAGTTCTCGTTTGAAAAATCTTTTATCGGATAAGATATCTTCACAAAATTTGGCATGAATTATTATCTAAAGTATTACCACAATATCTGCGTAATTTTTAGATCGGACCGCTATAGCATATAGCTGTCATACAGACCAATCGATCAAAATCAAGTTCTTGTATGGAAACTTTTTTATTTGTAAAGGGTATTCTAGCTTCGGTGCAACCGTTAGAGTGTTTTTTTTTTGTTATAAAAGGCTTAGCAATTCTAATTTTTTCCGAGACAATCCGAATATGGTAATTGCATTGCCTTCAGTATACCCTGAACAGGGTATATAAGGTTTGCCACGAAGTTTGTAACACCCAGAAGGAAACGTCGGAGACGCTATAAAATATATACAGCTGAGTTCATAAAAATAGCAGTGCTCATGAGCTGCAACTTTAAACTTAATTTTATATATCAAAAAGTAAATGAATGTTCACAAATTTAATTTTGTTTTAATTTTGTGATTATTTTAAACAAAAACAAATCAATTTATTATTCAAAATGTTGTTAATTTTTTTTACATTATTAATTTAAACAAAAAAAGTGCTGTTTACAGCTGCTCATAAAAATAGCAGTGAGAATTGGAATTAGTTGAAAAAAACATTGTTTAACTCCAAAAAACTATTTTAATTTGTTTGCTTGGGTTAGTACTTAGTCGTGTTCCCATTATTTTTTATTACGGCCTGGCATCTGCGAGGTACAGAATCCACCAAGTCCTGGCAGCGCTTGACAGGGATCCGCTCCAATGATTTTTGAACAACCTCCCAAAGCTGTGATCGAGATGTTGGCTTTGCATTTGCAACATATCGTTTAACATCTCCGCATAGGTTTTCAATTGGATTTAAATCCGGATACGGCGCAGGCCATGACGTAAGATCGATCCGCTTTGATGCCATCAAGCTTTTGACCAGTTTGCTTGTATGTTTGGGGTCGTTATCTTGTTGAAACGTCCATTATAGTGGCATTTCCCAATTGGCATAAGGAAACATAACATTTTCTAATATGTTAACATATACAGATCGATTCATGATCCCATCAATCATGAATATAGTACCCACTCCACTGTAAGAAAAGCATGCCCATACCATAATACTCAATCCTCCGTGTTTAACTGTCTTCAAAGTGTACCTAGAATCGTACTCTGTGTTAGGTAGACGTCTGACATATTGTCTGGAGCCCTTTCCACCAAATAACACAATTTTACTTTTTACAATTATGGTGACTTTTGGCGAACTCCAAACGTGCTTTGACATGTCTGGTGGCTAACGTGGATGGCACGCTTTGAGATTTTGTTCTTTAAGACGTCGCCGAATAGTAACGCCACTAACATTCAAGCTTAAGTCATTTTTTATCTTGCTGGACGATGCAAAAGGCTGCGCCCTGCTATATCGCACAATAGATCGGTCCTCATGAGGCGTGGTTTTACGTTGGATGCCACGATTTTCGAGCATTATTTTTAAGTTTAAAGCATTATGAATCATTTTAGCTGAACATCCACATATTTCTGGGATGTCTTTATATGTTTTCCCAGGTTCCTTAGTTGCTTTATAATATTTCTTTTTTCAGGAGTACAATGTTTGCCCCAGCCCACTAAGTTAAAAAATATAAATTAGTGTTTTCTAATGTTAATAATAGTCAATAACACAAAACCACTTACTTGTTATCAATTAAACGTCTTAACAAAATTTTTTTGGCATATCAAGATACTCACTGCTATTTTAATGAACAACCAAAGACTAGTGCTTCTAGCAAAAAGAGTTGTTCATTTGCTTAAATCTCGCAAATCTAACGGGATTTTTTCGTTTCTTCCTTATACACATTCCATTCTACAACAACAATGCGTAGAAGTTGGAATAATCGTAACGGAACTTGAAAAAAAAATAACATTACTTGATTGCATTTCTCGCACTGCTATTTTGTATATAAATATCAGCGTTACGAGCTGTGTCGATTTAGCCATGCAGGTCTGTCTACACGAAGAATTATGCACACGTCCAAGAAGCTGCTCATATGTCGGAACCGCCGATATCAGAGCCCTTTAACATGTAACTGCTATACAAATTGAACCATCGGAATCAAGTGCATGTATGGAAAAATCTTTCATTTGACGAGGTATCTTCACATAATACGGCATAGATTATTATTTAAAGCAATAATGCAATATCCGAAGAAATTGTATAGATGACTATAGCATATAGCTGCCATATTAACTGAACGGTCGGAGTACAGTGCTTGCATGGAAAACGAAATCTTCACGAAATTAAATCGGAATCAAGTTATTGTAAGGAACCTTTGTATCTGTAAAAAGTAACAAAGCTTCTTCTGCCGAAGTTAAAGGTTTTTCTTGTTTTAGTATTCCTTCATTAAATTTTATACAATATTCTTCAAATGTTACATTTCAAGGTATCTTTGGTTTCTATAAAAAGCTTATTTTATCGTCACAAAAACAGGGCTTTTTGTACGAATCAAACTTGAGATCCCCTCAGGAGGTTCCCATTGCACAGAAACATTCGCCGACGACTCAAATAATATCAAAAAATAACTTGCGGACACCTCTTCACGATTTTGCGGCACTAAATCACAGTCGAAGCCAAACAAATGCGACTTACATTTACAATGACTTGGCATTATTGATGTTGTTTTTGTTTCGGCTGCACAATAAATGCGGAAAAATCACATAAAATTTCAATTTCTGTTTTAATTTTAAACCCAACTCCAACTATTTAAATAACTCTCATCGTAAACTGCAATAACAAAAAACATAAACGTTTGTGTGTGGGTGCGTTTGTAACAGAGCTTACGCAAATTGCGCACACTCGTTATTGACAATTGAAATTTGCTGTGAAATTAGCCAAACAAAGTGTCGTGTTCAAACAATTAAGCGCCGACAGGCAAACTCTATGTTCGTACCCACGAAGGCACGCGGGCGATGAACCAAGAGTTGTCATGAGACCACAGCTAGACAGCGAGTTCGTAGCGCGACGACTGGTAGGCGTACGAAGCACTGCATGAAAACAATAGCCAATTGCATTGACAGCATTGAAGAAGTAAAGTCGCGGAGCGCAAACAGTAACAATAGCAACAACAGCACTTGGACTTTCAAACACCGATGTGATGTGCGTTTTCGGCTACAGAAATTGTTGTTTTTTTGGCTTAGATAGCCGCGTTGGTAATTGCGAAATAACGATTTGCAAAAGTGGACATTTAAACAGCCATTAATGGCCAAAAGTTGCAACAATCAAAGGCAAAGCGCGCAACTGCTATTGTTAAGGCCCAATCGCCAATTGTTTGCGAAAAGTAAAACAAAACAGTTGAACAACAAACTATTTGCTACTCTATTTTGGCTCTGATTGCCACGCTTTGAACATCTAGTGAAGCTTGCCCGACTGTTGCACACACATGTCGGAAGGTGTTGACAAGCCATTTCCCGATGTGCGGAGCGCATACTCGTATATGGAACAAGGCTGGAAATCTATTACATACCAGCCATTTTCACTCTTCCGCTTATATTTTTGTTTTTAAGCAACGAGCGGACTAGAAAATTTGCATGACATTTCGCTGTATGCGGAACGCCGCCGAAAATACGAACACAAGCTGCTTCAACGCTCAATGGGTTCCGCGTGTGCGATAATCCGTAGCACAATCAGACAGCGCTGTTTTTTCTCACCGCTGCGTAGAAAGTAAAATGCGTTCCGCCTGCGCCTGCGCCTGCGCCACATCTCCTGCAACCACCACCAAAATATCAATGCAACGTGTGTGGCATTAACGATTTGTTCACTCTTGTGCTTGTTGTTATTGCTATGTCTTTCCTCCATGTGTTTTGCTCTGCCATACTTTTAGCGCGTTACTAGATGTCGTTTCGTTTTTCGTGAGGGCGGCACCGCGTGCTTGGGGAAATTGAATGTTAACTCATGGTGTCGTTGCTTTTGTCTCATTATTTTCTTTCCATGGCTATTTTAATATTATTGCTTCCATTTAGTATTTAAGTACCTTTTTCACTTTCTGTCATGAGATTTGGGCGTTATCATTGCGATTGTGTAAGCATCACAGCTTTTCAAATTGTTCAGGCATTTTAAGTACTGAAATTTATCATATATTCAATATTTTTTGATTATTATGTACATTTTAAAAATTTAGTATATAACTTTATTAGTTTTCTTAGAGATTTAGATTGAAATAAATTTTGAATATTTTAAGTTTTAAATATCTCAAAATTATTTTCGCAACATAACCGTTTACGAGTATACTTAATTTAGATAGAAAATAATAAAATACTTCTTTAAATTGTTTTTTTAATTTTGTTTCACAGGTATATTATCATTCTTGGATACCGCAACGGTAAGCCAATTTAAGCATTTTATATGTAATATTTGTAAGCTTTCTCTTTTATTCCAATATAACTTGCGTCTTACTTGGAATCTCTTTTTGTTAAATGTAATGAACTAACTTTGTCGTCTCTCAGTAGCACTAATAATTCAGAGTAAGTAAGATACTACTACTATCTAATTTTCGTAACAAAACCACCTGACAATCAAAATTATAATAATTTTAAATTATAGTTTCTACAAGTACAGTTTTCAAGTATTCAAAGAAACACAATATTTCTTCTGAGGCCAAAGTTTATTTGTTAAGAACAGCAGACTTCTACAATACCATAGATTATCTTTAATAGTGTTTGAAGGTTTTACATACTTACATACAATTTTTTTTTAATCACTGAAGAAGTAAAAATATTTCCTTCGCAAGTCATTAAACGTTTAAAAAAATGCAATCGGGACGTGCTATTTCCCAATTTCTACCACCAGTTTCGTACCAATCGAATCTGTAATAACGGTTTTAAGCAAGAGCCATTGGAACGAAAGATAAAGAGGTCCCCAACTCTCCTAACATTGTAAATTAGAGAGCAACACACCCCCGACTTTGACAATGCACTGATTCGGGTAGGTTTTGACGTTTAGCAATTGGAACGACTGGACTGGCCAGATATAAATCCGACCAAAAACGGGAGAGTTATTAGCATAGGCTGTCCAGTGTTTATGGGATCGCGTTGTTGTAGGCTGTGATTTTCTTACTATGCCAACATTTATTATGTGTTTTTGTCGCCTATAATTGACACAGTATTTGGAACGCGATCGCATCACCCAACCATCGCCAAATTGGCAGCTTCACGCGTAACGTGAGCGTGCAAAATTGCTTTTGGCCGGCCGTTGCATGCCATTTAACCATGTTGCAATTCTATGTGGCAGTATATAGTTATAGCTCAGCTTAGGTCGACTCAGCTTCATTCAACATATCTCAATTGGGTTGCTTAGTTCAATAACGGTCGTGCGCAATTCCTTCAATTTCAAGCTGAAGTTAGTAGTAGCTGTTGCTCTGCCACTCATATCATTTTAGTCGGTTTGTGTGTCACACCCGTTCACATCAACCTACTGATTTGGTGAAACCATGCTCGGTGTATTTCCTTCTTTCGCTCACAATCTTACTCCTACATTCGGCCGGCACTCAGCACTCGTTTACCATATTATTTACAAATCTAACGGTTGCTGTCGGTTACATTTGCGACGCATTAACTGAAAATGCTAATTCAGTGAACAGAGCGATCGCATCATCAGCGTTTCATCATTCGATACTTCGATCTCGCATGTGCCAAATGTGTACTATATATACATTTATACGTTGCTGATCGACGGTTTGGCGATGTTGTTGTAATTACATCGATCATCGCAATATTGTTGTTGGATCGCAATAATGATATTCCCAATTTCGTTGATCATCGCGACGTTTTCAAGCGCTTTATTGTAGTTTGCTTCTCAGCGACGTGGGCTGCCCCAAATGGCTCTATGTTCGAGGTGTGAAATCAGTCGCGGCAGCGAGCAGTTTTGCAAGCAAATTGTAACGGGGTTCTTTTCACGAGTTTCTTTTATGTTTTCTATTATTTTTATACTCTCGCAACATGTTTGCTGCAAAGTATAGTAGTTTTCTTCATCTAACGGTTGTTTATATCACTTAAAAGTAATCGCAATAGATATAGAGTTATATACATATATACAAATGTTCAGGTTGACGAAACGAGTTGAAATCGGGTGACTGACTATCCCTCCGTCGTCTGTGTAACTTGTGCAAAAATTGAGATATCTTAACATAACTTGCTACACATGTTTCTTGGCACGCCCACAAATCGCCATTAATCGAAAACCTAAAAGGTGGCATAACTAAGTTCCATTATAAGATTAAAAAAACTGCTATTTAGTGCACTGAACCCTTTTATTAAAATATTTCGAATACATTTAATTTTAATTTTTAAAATATGGCTTTATAGGAGCCAGTATCAATGGGCGTGGCATCGTTAGAAACGTAATATTTTCATCACATTCCTACATTACAGTGTAAAAATTGGCGATATCGAATCAGAACCACGCCTACTTCATATATAACACAGCTTTCAATTTCATATGATGCTTTCACTTTACAATATACAAATCGAGCACCAATAAATATTTTGGGATAAAATCTGATCATTACGTCCCCCGAGCCCCCATATACCTTATATAAAGATTTTCAAACTTCCGGTTAACTTCATACTGCATATATACTTACATAAGTCAGTCTTTGAGGTTTCCTAATGAAACTCATAGAGCATCTTTTCCTGGTAATAATATGTTGTAATGCCAAAAATGAATAAAATCAGGTCAATATTACCCCTAGATCCTTATAAACAATATATTTGAAATTTTCGGTTGCTTTCATACCATACGAGTATTGTATCCTTATATAGACTTTATGCCCCATACGTCGAATATACTTGTGTAATGTCACAAGTTAACGCAATTAGTTCAGATCTTCTTCTAGCCAAATACACCCGATGTAATGATTTCCGACTTTCTAGCTGACTTTAAGCCATTTATATTGGTCAATATATGTGATATTTAATTGTTTTCATATACATAATTTGGTTTAGCGCTGAATATGAGTAAAATCGGTCTGGTCCGGTATCCCTAATATAACGGGATTCTACGACCTATAATATAAGTCAATAAGATACCAAATATGATTGCAATCCCTCCACCCTTTAGTTGAATAATGAATACTGAATTCTATCGCAATTTTAGTATAAAGTTTTGCTAACACTTGAAATATTTGATCTTTGCAAGTTGCGAGAATGTATCAACTGTTCGGTTACACTCGAACTTGGACCTTTCTTACTAGTTTTTGACTATAATTTCTTTGTTATTTTAATCCCTTCCATTCATCGCTCAGAATGCGCACGGCTGATTTTCATTGAATTGCAAATTCGGCATTGACGTTCGGTGTTGGTCCAATGTACTGGGAGCTGATGTCAGCTTTTTTCTGTGGTACAGGTAAAATGCTTGGGAGCCGTATGTGTTGTTGAATTCAAATTACAATCTACATGCATATTTTATTTGACACCTATTTTGTTTTCGTACTTACGCAATAGCGTCGGTTTGCTAATTCGTAAAACTCTTTACAAAAATTAGGGGTTGCTTATAAATATATATACAAACACACATACGTTATAAGCTAGTTTAAGTTCAAATTTAAAAGGAGTGATATAGTGTCACTTCGGTAAGGTTAGCATGAATTGTACGAAATTTTACTCATTATTTTGCACACTGTTTAATCGCTGTCGTGCGAGATGTGTGATTTCGAAATTACGTTATTATTTAAAAGTAGTCGCTATACCACCACAAATATAATTTTCAGAAATTTTATATAGTTCAACGCGAATATTTTACTTTTAATTCGGAGATTTGAAATTCAGTGAAGAAAATTTGCAAAAGAAAAAGAAAAAACTAAGGCATACAAACGGAAACATAAATACAGATCAATTGGTCAGCACCAACTGATTTTATGAAAAAAAAAATAAGTCGTCACAGCGATAGTTGCTAACAATTATATTTCATTTCAAAAAGAACAATAGTTACAGCTGGTTTGACAATAATAATTAAAATGCACTATTGGATATCTGATTCCGGCGCCTCCTTGTAGAAAAATGAAAAATTAATTATTTTATATATTATTACTTTATTTTTTTTAACCACTACCGAATTGATTTTTAATGTAAATAAATTCTCTGTTTTGACTTCGGTCAGCAACTTATAGTTTGGAATGTTAATACGGGCTGCTCGATCTCTAATCAGCAACCCTCCTGACTACACCTCTGCTCATACAAAAAACATATAGACACATGAATTCACAATCAATTACTTTGCCTTTCCTCTCGCTCTTTCAATAATCATAAATAACCAAATTGAAGTTGGTTACTTCGGTAACGCTTGTGTGCTTATTCAATGAGGCGTCAAACCGATTTAGAAATCTTCGCTTTATAAATACTATAAATATATTTCCCTCCGATATTATTTTTTTATTCTTCTTTAACTTAAATTATCAATTTCGTTCTGTTTATATTCACGCCGGTGCTGCCAACAATAGTAGATGTTTCCACTAAAAAAACAATAATAACAAAAGTTTACTAAGTTCAATATCATTTTGAAAAAGATTAATATAAGGAAAGGAATCTTGAAAAAATCCTACACTTTCGTAAATACTTCAGAAAATTTTATACATCAATATCACGTACTGAGTCGAATTATGTTATTGAAGGAAGTTTGAGATATTCTGAAAAATTGAGTCTAGGTTGTGTCTAATAATTTAACCAGTGCTTTTAAATCTGAATCCCTAGGCTACGACAAAAATAGAGTAAATTAAGTGATTTTTATATTTTTGTCTTATATTGTGTATATATGAATATATGTTTTATATTAAGTTAATCTAGGCTTGCTTATTATATTTACAAGTAGTGCTTTTTTTGAAAAATGAGTCAAATTTTTTTTGATGTCAATCCCATTATTTTCCATAACTATCGATAAACCAACTACCATAAAAGTTAGCTATCAACTAGAGAATGCTTAAATACGAGCTTAGCTTTTTGTAATATCTAAAGTTAGATGATGACTCGAGGAATAGTATAAAATATAATGTTCCCAAAGAATTGGACAATATATAATAATAGTTCTCCTATCGAATCTTTTTAATAATAAAGGGTGTTGTGGAATCCAAGACAGATTTGCGTAGTTGTCAGAATTGCAAACCAATTGCTGATTTTCAATAGTGTCACAGAATCTGATTGGATTTTCGTCTTTTCGAACATGCAAAACCAATATCCGAATCAGCTGTTTACTAATGTGACAAAACTAGCAAATGAATAACGTTGAAAGCATTTGAAAATTTTAAAATACTGAATAAAGTCTAAAGTTTACAATAAGTTGCGATATTTCAGCTTTTATTTTATTGGAAGAAAAAGCAACGAAACAAGTAAC